AGCATCTACAGTGGTGCATTAATTACCCTGAAATATTAGATCCAATTAGAAATATCAGATGTTTCACAGTCACCAAACAGATGAATGGAAATTATTAGCATCTATGCATCTCTTCCTTAGTTTATCACTTGCTAACTGTTAATACAGTGTTACTTTTTTTGTTTTATTAAATTAATTAGAAAGTAAATAGATGCTACAGAAAACCCCTGAGGGGACAAGAGGAAAGATGTGTGCATGTATGGAAAGATGTAGGATGCATGAATAAGACTTCTGATAACTTTTTAAAACTGCAATAAAAAATAATCTTTAAAATACTCTGTTTACTCAGTATCCAATATAAAATCAAGGTTTTTACAATGCCTTAATCTGAAAGCATTATCTTATTTATTGTCTAACATTGCTGATGCTGAATTAATTTTGTTATTTTTAAGAAAGACTGGTTGTTCTTTCCCATTTTTGTTTCTTGGTGGCAAAATAGTAAATATTTAAAGTTGGAGAATGTTGGTATTCATTTTATATATTGGACTATTCATTTTATCTGGACTATTTTATACATTATGCATGCTGTCTCACATATGTGTTACTATATATTTTATTTTTTTTTAATTGAAAACATTGCTAATTCTAATAGTTCTGCTGCCTTTCTGGTTTTATTCTGTAAATCTGAAATAAAGAGGAAGTTAGAGTGTCTACCATTCTAAAGAAATTAAATCAGGCCAGGTTTGGCAGTATTAACACTTCACTGTTCACTAAAGCTTGGTACATTCAGTAGGAGATGAATTATTTTAATTTGTGAGTAACAGTTATTCTAGAAAGGCAAAAAGTGAAAATTTTATTTTATGAAAATGGAAATGCTGATTTCTACAGCTCCAAACAAGAATGTAATTTTTCATTATGATGGCATTTTTTTGACTACCAGTAAGTGTACATGAAGTTAGACAATGGTTTTAACATGTGTGTCCATAGCTACCTCTATTCTCAATACTGATAAAGTAGGAAATTTTGTTCGTTTCTTGGGCAGCAGAGAAATACAGGAATAGACCAGGATCACACTGTCCTAGGACAATTCTGTATATGCACAGAAAATACAGATGATCCCTTTGTAAAGTAGTAAATTTAAAGTATGCAGCTGAAATCAGCAGAGGAACACATTGTCTGATGAGGAAACTGCCATATTAGGAGTCTGTTGATATGATAAAACAGTTTCACATATTGACAAAAAAGTCAATGAAATTCCTTTTGTCCTACAAAAGTTATTTTTGTCACAGAGGAACTCTTGCAACCCTAACTGTAGCAGTCCCTTCTCTAAAAAGCTGTATGAAATTTGATTTCTTTGGTCAAGGGAAAGTAATAAACCATTTCAAACCCTTAATCCATTGTCTGTGTGTCTCTGTGTGTCTGTGTGTCTGTGTGTCTGTGCTGTTTTCTTCTGCATCCTGTAAGAAAGAAAGTAGGAAAAACTAAAGCTGCCATTTACTGTAATTACACTGCAGAATATACTTCTGGCTGAGCTATAAGCTTCAGTTACTGGTGTCTATTACAACTAAAGCTGCCCTGTAGGTAAATTATTTCGTTTAAGTGAATAAATTATGCTTTACCAGCTGTAGATCAAAGTCTATGACCAATTCATTGAGCACCATGAGATTCTTGCAGGGATTAAAAAAAAAAGCTGTTGTTGTAGGAGATCTGAATAGGTTTCCTGTTCTTCAGTTTAACTTCATAGTTTGAAAGCCTCTTTTGGGGGAAAGAGCACAATGTATAAACTGTTATCAAATGCAAAATATGACCATGTGTGAATGCGCAAATAAAGTGAGAAATGTTTGTGGAATGATGGCAGTATTTGCTATTCTTTTTTGTATTGCCAGAGATAACAAGTGGGAATAACTGATTTTTGTTTTAGCTTTTGCTGTGAAAAAGTGGGGAGCAAATTACTTGGGGTTGAATGAAGTTATTATTCTGCTTTACAGGAGAATATACATTTCTCTGCTTTCAAGTGATCTTTTGTTTCCTTTTTAATTATCACACCAAGGTCAATTTGTTTTCCTTTTCATGGGGAAGTGGGGACAGCATAAATTTGCAGCTGGTTTTGGTGAATAAACTATTCATGTGCAGAATTTTTTCCCGCTCTGTGGTTAGGTATCACTGTTCAGGCTCTACATTGCTAGCCTGAGCTGGACGTTACATCTCTCACAACAACACAATAAATGATTTATTTTGAAAGATCAGAAGCGCTTGGTTTGGAAAGAAACATGAGCTATACCAGGGGCAGGGCTCCCGCAGGGGTCTCCCCTCGATCTGGGGAGTGGGATATGCAAAGGAATATGCAGCGTGGCTCCACGGGAGTACAATGTGAGGAAGGAGAACCTGGTGCAACTAAGAAGTGCTGGTACTTGAAGGCTGCCACTTTTTAATTTGTACACATGTGAGTGGTTGAATCTGAAGGACTTCAGAAGTGATGCAAAATTAATTTTTGATTTTCAATTCATTAAGATTCCAGATCCGTGTAAAGAAAAAAATCACTTACAGAAGTGTTACATAGAAATAATCTGATCCAATTTTCAGCATGAGCCTAGCAAATTTCTACTGTTCTTACACTAATTCGTTCAGGATTGAGTGAGCGTTTCAATTCTTTCGAGAAAATACTCAAATGAAAGTTAGGAAACTTTCAGAATCAAGAATTCAGATTTTTTTTTTTTTTGCCAGATATTTAGTAAAACTATTTTAAGTGGTCTGTTTCAGCACAATTGATGCCTTAAGTTTTAGCTTTCATATTTTTTAGATTTTTACTGCCTTAGTGTGTGACTCTGAACTTCATATAAAGTGTTAGCAAGCTCTCTTCACAGGGTAGCTAGACAAAACAATCCTTTTCCAGCCTGAGATCTAAGGACACCACTGCATGTTTAGGCTCAAGAAGTTTAAACAACAGCAAATTGAGGAAAACAATCTAAGAGGATGGGACCTCGTAACCTGGAGCTGTAATTGGACGATTGACCCCAATATGTAAATGGACCAAAACTTATAAAAGTGTGAAAATTTGTGACTGGTTGTCCACCTTGCATCTGTCTTGGGTCTATCTCGGTTCCATCTTGGCTCTTGTACTGTGCAAGGTGTATCCTTTGAAGGTCTTTTAATAAATACCTACTTTATTCCTTTAGCTCTGTCTAGCCTCTGTTCCAGGTCAGCCTCTTTAGGCATCACAATAATCAAGATTATTGAAAAAAGTTCATTAACATTATTATGAAACCTGTGTACACTGTTTTGGGGAAAAAGATTCATTAAACATGTACTTTTTGCCTCTTTCAGCCGAAGTGCAGCCAGGGCTAATCTTCAGTAACATTAAGAGCCACCATACTGCAAAAAGAGTGGGGCTTGTGTCAAGCCTGGATTTTCTGTAATGTTAACCAGAGTGGCCATGCTCTCATAGGCCACTTGACTCTACAGCATGCTATGCTGGTACCAGTGGCACAAGAAACAAGCAAGCAGTCCAGCAAAGACGTTGCCATCTAACTCTTTTCCAAGCCTTTCAATTACTTATTTTCTTTCTCTTGTTTCAGGACGACTGAAAGCCAATAGTGAATTTTTTTTCAAGCTTCTTAGCTGCCATACAGTGAATGGCCATTCAGGGTTAAGCAGTTGAAACAAACATTAAAGCCAGCTTTCTGATCACTTACCTTATTCCCACTTTGAGCATATGTTATTTTGCAAGATACACATCAGTGGAAAAGCTGGGTCAGCAGATCAGCAGTGATGGAAATGTTGGATTTGATTGTGGGCATATGAGCAGACCCACAGGGTTCTCAACAGTAGTTGTATTGTAATCATATTAGAGAATTTCTTGATACTTCAGGCCTGCATTTAATCACAGCAGTTGCGGGTAACTCCTTCACGAAGTTTCTTTTAGGCTTCAAAGCTGAGATGAAGAAAGGCCAGAGGTGACATCTTTCTTTGCATCTATAAAGCAACCTGTTAAGTTTTCTACCAATTCAGGCCAGGAAGACCTAGCGCACTCACCTATGCCCAAGGAACTATACAGATGCTTCAACTGTCCTCAGAACAGATTACAGACATAAATTCCTATAAAAAATTAAAATATTTAAAATGCCTTAACTTTGCACTTTCAATTAATTATGATTATATCCTCTCATTAATAGTTGAGAGTTTAATATGTGCATTCAGCAGCTTAATAAAAAGTTTGTTGTGCCACTAAACTTAAATCCAAGCTCTCCTTTTTTGCAGTGAACCAAATTTAGACACCACATCCAAATCCAGAAAGTTGTACTTCCCAGTATAAGCATTTAAATCTGCACAATGAAACAGCGCAATTTTTTTCCTACATAAAAATCATCATGCCTTACAGACCTTTCAGAGCAGAAGAAAGGCTTCCTTGGCGGGGATTGAACACATTAATTAGCATTTAAATATTTGTACTTAAATACCCCAAAATGTATTCAGGTAGTCTGTTGAATATAATGTATTAACAGTAAGCATAATAAAACATGTTAAATATTAAAGACTTTCTGGATAATCTTCTGTGTGCCAGGAGGAAGGATTAGGGCTAATTTAAGGGTGGACATCCTCATCCATGGTGGACCTGGATGTTATTGTCTCTGCAAAGAATGCTGGTAAAAGGATTGTGCTTCATACAGATGGATTTTCTAGGTACTCAATTGAAATCTTTCCTGTTAAATTTGGAGATTATTCCTGTATTGCTCTCAAAAATTTGATTCAGGACTGGGTTAATCAAAATGCTAAGCATCACTAAAATATGAGTGTGCAAACTCCCAACAATAATCACTTTTTCTGTATGTCTGGAGAGCAAAAATATGTCTGTCTAGAGTTCCTCAATCATCTTTATATTTCCCATATTGCAAAGACTTCTTAGTACTGACGGTTTGGGGTTCTTTCCTTTCATTGAGCTTACTTTTTGTTCCAGTTGAAAATGCCATTAAAAGTAACAAATGTTTCTTTGTTTTTTGTTGTTTTTTTTTCATCCCACACAGTGTGAAAGGAGCAGATGCTGGGAACGTGATCAGACTATTTGTACCAGATATTGGGATGTTCATTGCTAGTCTGACAATATGGCTCGTCTGCCGCAACGTGTTTCAGAAGCCAGTGAGCGAGGATGCAGCACAGTGCAACACGCAGTTTGAAAATGAGGAGATGGTATCAAATACACATTTTTATCTGTATGGCTTTTAGTGATCTTTGACATTCCTGTGTTCTGAAATGCTGTGTGCTGAGTGCTGGCTATGTTAAGTAGTAACCTTTCTTTCAGGAAATGAAATAATTTGTTTTAAAGTGGAAAAATATAAAGTTATTACATTGAGAAAACAAAGCAGAATATGAAAAGTGGTAGATATGCTATAGGATTTTTCAAATAATGTTGAGTTAAGAAACAATCATGACAGTCCATCATAAGTTGTTCTTCACCAGAGCTTCTGGCTGAATCTGACAAGGTTGTTCTGCTACATACAGTACTCAGTTTCTTGGATAGTGTTCCTATTTCCAAATTTCTTACCCAAGTATGACAGCAGCAGCTGAGTGATTATCAGAAATTACTCTTAAAGAATGGAAGAAAGACTGTGTGTTAAGTTCATGGAAGGAGTTGTCTAAAACTTTGGTCATACTGAGTGTGATTGAGAATGATTTAGGGGAATTGCTTAGCTGGAAGTGTTGACGTGTTTCCTCTATCTTTTACTAGTGGGGAGAAGAGTAGCAGAGATACTGAATGCAAAAAAATCCACAGAAAGAGAAAAACAATTTTGTAATATAAAAAGGCACAGTGGGAATTTGGGCCAGGGTGCAGAGAAATTTGTACTGCTAATCTTAACATTTTTTTATCAGACTGTCTAGATTTTCTGTCTTCTTTTACAGATAGGTGGAATGTTCTTTCTTTACTCTCAAAACACCATTTTTAGGAGAGACAATTTCAACTTGCTCATTTCAAATAAAAATTGAACTTTGAAGTGAGTGAAATATTTAGGGGGGATCAGTTGCCAATTTTGGTGCCACTATATAGAGTAAAAAGAGGCCTCTCTGCATGTTGCCATGTTGTCTGGATTGTGGCAGTGCCAGAAGCTGGTCAAATTTCTAGCACATGAGTGATCAATATCAGGACTGTGCTTTATACTCAGTTGCAGTTGGAATTCTTATGGGCTCTTCTGGCAGCTGAGGATTGCCTGAAGGTTGCAGCTTTTTAACTGCACATTGGAGGATATGTAGGGTTTGGTTTGATGTGCATATGCAAAGCTTTGTGTCTCCTGGAACATGGTTTTATCAGCTTTAAATCTGCTTTATCGCTGAAGCTGTGCAAAATGGATTTTGCAGCAGGCTAGAACCTTGGGTTATACCCAGAAAAGGAAAGAAGTGTGGCTTATTAGCATGGTTTGTGTTCAGTTTTCCTCTTAAACGAGTTTTATTTCACCAAAGTGAGCTCCAACAGACTTCTTTGGTGCTCTTGATCTTCTGAAGAGAAAGTATTCACAAGCACAAAGCAGGAGTAATCTGGTGGTAGAAACTCAGAAGAAAGATGGGCATAGTTTCGTTCCTCTGAAACGAGATGATGATGTTTAGATATTCACTTTTTCTTCGGTTCAGAGGTGAACCTGAGCCTGGGGTCTGCGTCAAAGGGAGCTCGGTGTCCTGGGGAGGATGGGTGCTGGCTTCCAGGCAGGGTTCAATAATCATTTCCCTCCAGTGCAAGGAAAAACCTGAACTAGCAAACACTAATTGCATAGCACAGAGTGTAGCTTTATATCGGGCTGGTCCTGGACTGGCTACCTCAATGCCAAGGCAAGAGTACGCCATAAGGGAAGAAGGAGGGAGAGAAGAAAACTCTGACTGCAAAGAAATATGAATACTGTGCAAATAGAAATATGTGTAAATATCTTTTTTTCCTCCACATCAAAAAACCCAATGAATATTATTTATGTTCTGTAAACTCATGTATTGCAGAATATTTAGTGAGCATAGCAGCTGTGTTTAGATTTAGTGACACCCAAAACTCTATCAGAGGCATTTTATAAAAAAGGGATAATATTTTCTGTTATGTAAGGGGATCCCAAATACTTTAAGGAATTCTGCTCTTCACAGCCAAAACGATGAGTCTGTATCAGAGTAATCTGCTAGCTTTATAAAGATTGATTGAAATGGAGAATGGAAGATCAACATGTTTTTCCAAACTTCAGTTTTCTCTTCCTAGGTGTCTGCACATAACTTCCTTTAATAATTTCTGCTAGTTAGGAGGAGGAGGCAGAAGCAGTTGAATGTGCAAGGAATATGTATTTGGCAGGACTGACTGAAAGGAACCTAATGCATATGCAGATCAGGCTACTGAGTGTCTGAATTTGGGAGAATGTTGACATGGTCAAAAATGAGTCCAAACTCTGTGGGTTTCACATAATTTTCAAGTCTTTCTTGGTAGAGTACACTGGAAAAGGGACAACTTAGTAACTGACCAGTTTTTTGAATTCTGCATAAGCTGACTGATCCCTGTAGTTCTGTGTTGGTGCAGCTCGTTACTGATGCTGTAACTCCATTGAATTAGAAAATACAAAACTGAGTTGCAGCAACAACTGTCTGACAAAAAGACACTTTAGAAAAAATGCTGAGATTGGGATTGTACCTTCAAGGGAAATAGTCCTGGGTTTGTCAACCCAGTCCTGTAGGTTATTCTGGAGGTGAAGAGTGGCTGCTGAGAGTTCCTGCCACCAGCCCTCAGAAATCTGTGGTAGGAGATTTTAAGATTGCATCAGCTGATTTAAACAGCCTTAGCAGAGCCTTTAGACAGGTAACTTTTGAGGCTGATAGAAGCCTAGTCACAGATGGTTCTGTAAATCAAGTACTTCCAAGCCAAATCAGTGTCTTGAAGATTTATCTTTTTGTATTAAATTATTTACAGTAAATGATTCCCAGACCTCTGCTTTGTAGGAGAGTAAAATACTTTCAAAGTAGGATTAATTAAAAAAAAAAAATAAAGGTTAATCTATTTGATCTATTTGCTCCCTCCAGCATTTCTGTTAAATAATTGGTTTGATACTGCTATAATTAACCTTTTCAAAGGACTGTGTGAGCCCATCACATTTCTGTTGATATATGGACATGTTGTAAAAATGCCTCCAGTTGAGCAGAAGTGTGTGTGCTGTATTTTGGCATGGCAGTAGCCTCAAGAAACCAGCCATGATGGATCAGATTGCTTGTGGATTGAGATGCAATTCAAAACAAGAAGAAGTATCAGAATCCAAATTAAGAACAACAAGGATTTGTTGAAAAATGGATGTCTTTCTCCATTACACTGCATCTAACTTTAAGGGAAACAGATCTCCATCAGAAAAGTTTATTCTACAGAACAGAACTGGGGAGGAGGCTCTGAGGCAGTGAGACTCTCAATTATTTGTAAGTAATGCTATCCCAGGAATAAGCAAAGAGTGTGGTTTTAATTAACAGTGAGTCATGGAGTAGGAAGGTCTGCCAGATACCAGGCTGCAGTCCAACTCATTACCACTCCTAAATGGTTGCACACTTGGAGCAAACGTGTCTGCAGGCCCTTTTTATTAGAGCCCAGAAAATTTAAAGCAGGTGAATTCAGCTGGAGACAGGCCTGGGTTGCAAATTCCGAAAAGCACAATGCCAGTCACAAGGTGTGAAAGGTGGAAGAAAATAAGAAACAACAGTCAACTCCCAGCTGCAGCTGAAAGTACAGCATTTTTGATTTGGAGCAGATGGTGGTTTATATGCCAAAATGCAAATACAGTATATACTGTCTGATAGGTATTAGAAAGCAAGTAACCTTTTCTTGAGACTGTGGATGAATTGCTTAATGTTTTAAGTGACAATGGCAGGAAGGAAAACCCTTCTGCAATTGCACAATTAAACTTTAGAAGAGGTGTTGATCTTACTTGAAAAAAAAAGCCTGCACTTGCTGCCTTGCCCATTGAAGCTCATTTCTCATGCATGTTGTCCTAGAAAGCAAAGAGGACCATTAGGTCCTTACTTGTCTCAATCTGGGGTAAGCTTGATCCCAAAGCTTCCACCCATTCTCTTTTCTACAGCAGTCAGACATTTGTTTGGGATCTCAAAAGAGAAAAAAAAAAGGGAAAAAAAAGAAATTGAGGATTTTTTTTTTTTAATAAACTAAAGTTTGAGAAGAATATGAGGAGAGCTTGGCCTGGAGTCAAGATACTTGACTGGAATCAAGAGGACCATCATGGTTCTCACTTTGGCCACAAACTTGGTATGTGTCCTCAAGTCTATTACTTCATCTGTCTCTTGGCTCCTGTGTCCCTGGGCACACAGAAGCATAAAAATTGGTTCCCCAGCTTTGTCTGTCTAAACAGTGACAGGCTGTTTGTCTTCTGCATACATGGAGCATGTAGTGCATTGAGAGCTCTCACTTGCTCCTGGTCCCCATTCGTAACTGTAGTACATTCCATACAGGACAGAACAGACAGGCTCTGAGAACTGTCCACATTCCATGCCTTGTCCAAGGACTTTCTAGAATAGGAATTACACTTTTAGACCAGTATCCTTATCCTGAAAGTAGCTGGTACCTGCTGGATAAGGATAACAGCAAATAAGAAAATACCCTTCTGCAATGTAACAGTTTATCCTGATCTCTTCTAGTGTGAGAATGACTTTAATCCTAAAGCATGTGGTTTCAAATCCCTTCCAAAAAAGGTTGTTTATTATTATAGCTACTCTGAATAATCTTGTTAAACATATAATTACCCCAACTCTTTTAAAACCTCATTCATTTCTGGGCTTTAGTGGTATCATGAAGCAAGGACTTTCACGATTTAGTAAGTGCTCTTTGATTTTATTTTGAGTTTAACACTATTTAATTTTATGGAAGGTCCCTTGTATTACATGTAATCAATTAGAGTGAGATGGTGTAAGGAAAATCAAATGTATTTATTATCTTCTATATTTGACCTTTATAGGCTAAGCAATCTCTGGGTTTTTTTTTAAATTTCTTTTGTAATTTTAATTAATTTTTTTTCTGAACAAACTATAGTTCTACAATATTCTTTTGAGATACAGAGATTATAAGTTCCTCAGCATTTCAGGGAAGGTCTTACCATTGATTTAAATTATAATATTATGACATTGATTATCAGGTTCAAAGATTTTAGGGTTGAGAAATTCTACCAGCATATCACCTACCT